ATGAAATTGGAGGTAGTTTGAGGATTAAATCTTTTATGCTTTTTAAACTTAAAAAAGGGGGTCGTATTATACATGAGACTGTATTATACATGAATAAGTACGGTAGTTCTTTTCAGTGTTTAAAGAGGATGTGTTAAAACACTGTTTAGTCAAAGTTAACTACAACTGGCCCTTCGAGGGCCACCATAACACTCGTGTCCCTCGGTGAAAATGAGTTTGACACCCCCTGTGCTTGACCGCTTCTTCCTCGACGCCATGTTGGATACCAGATACGGAGCATGTGTGTGATGTCATCACACAAATGCGTCCTCATGTAGGACTGAAAAACAGAATCTTTAAGCAAACTAACAATTTCAAGGAATTGAAGTACTAAGAAGTGAAGTTCCACCTCACACACAGTCCATCTGCAGCTCAGTACTGATGACATTTTGCAGATTTGTGGAGTTTTCATCAACAGTTATTTAGATTGTGAGGAGAACTCAGTGGAAGACTGAATTTACAAACTCTGACCTTGACTTTATGTTTTATCTGTACTCCTGAAGCTCTGATAGCTTCCACCTAAAAGTTTATTAAAATATTGTTCATAAATGTTTCTGTTTCAGCTTTAGATTGAGGAACTGGACATGATTAATTTGTCTTTTTGTTTTTGCTGATTGTGTCCTCTACAGAGTATTTTGAGTACTTTGCTCCAGATTTCACGCTGCATCCTGACGTCAGCACCAGGATAGAAAACCAGAACTCCAGACAGGTAAAAACCTTTTAAAGATGTGGGCTTCAGTGTTGAAATGGAGGGTGTTTCTCTGACACAAAGACCATCCCTGCCTCTCTCACTGTTTACCTGTGGGTGCAGTATCTGGAACAGATCCGTCAGACTGTCTTTGAAAACTTGAAGATGTTGAATCACGCCCCCAGTGTCCAGATCCACGACGTCCCGTCAGACATAATGAGCTTTGAGCGCAACGATGAGCCGGACCCTGATGAGCGAGGAGCCGAGGAGAACTACAGCCGGTGAGCAGCAGCAGCAGCTGCTACAGTCACCTCTCACCTGCTTTCACTAAACTTCTCTCCTCCTGGTTTCAGGCCCGAGGCGGCCAATGAGTTCTACGATGGCGACCACGACAACGACAAAGAGAGCGACGTAGAAATTTGAGCCCAGCATCGAAGGACTGAACCGAAACACTCGGTTCATCCACAGCAGTTTTTGTTTTTTACAGCAGTGAGACGTTTTTTTAATGACGCCTGCTGAAACATTTGATGTATCGTGTATTTTCTCTTTGTATGTACAAAGTTTTCACATAAAATTCCTTTCATGTTGTCTTTTTGATTCAGTTTTTGTGAAGCTCTGAGGAGATGGATGTGATCTGATGTCAAACATCTGGAACTCATTTGGAGAGAAAATAAAAAGAACAGCAACTTTAGTGTTATAGAAAAGGCTTTTTTGGATTTGTACCAGTTTTGTAAGATGTGCAGGAACCCATCGTCCATGCATCAAGTTCTTTTTTTTTTTTCAGGAAGGTTTTGTGGAAAGGTTATAAATATCTTACCTGCTGTAGATAGCTCAGAGCCCTATAGAGTTGTGACACTCCCGTTGCCTTTATAGAAAGAACGGGATGTGGAAGTCTCCTGGAGCTGCTGATAGTTGCAAACAGCAGCTCCAGGGTTGAACGCATTTCATTCTCAGTGTTTCTGAAGTTTTTTTCTCTGGCAAGTTTATACAAACAGGTCCTTCTCAAAAAATTTTCATATTGTGATAAAGTTCATTTTCTGTAATGTACTGATAAACATTAAACTTTCATATATTTTAGATTCATTGCACACCAACTGAAGTAGTTCAAGCCTTTTATTGTTTTAATATTGATTTTGGCAAAAAAGTAAAGAAAAATCAAAAATCCCTATCTCAAAAAATTAGCATATCATGAAAAGGTTCTCTTAACCACATATTAACCTAATCATCTGAATCAACAAATTAACTCTACAAAAGATTCCTGAGGCTTTTAAAAACTCCCAGTCTGGTTCATTACTCAAAACCACAATCATGGGTCAGACTGCTGACCTGACTGCT